GTGGTCACAGAACAGCAGCATCATGTCACCTGAGAACCTCGGTGGGCATCCCTGACATACTGAGTCAAAAACTCTGGGTCTGGGCCGCAAGGCCTCCAAGGCACGCTGATGCATGCCACTGTTCTGGGGCAAAGAAAAAAAACCAGGAAGAAAGTTAAAACCAAAGCTCAACTGTGAATCTGATGACAGGGTGGGGGAGGGGAGGAGGACGGGAGGGAGACGGAGACAGACGGCCTCATTCTCCCAGTACAAAACCTACCCAGCCCCAGGAAGCTTTCTCAAAAGATAATGGAGTCCGGTATTCACCTCAAGAACCTGCAGACATGGCATCCAGGAATGCGTCTCTGACCAAGCTAGGGCTCTGCTGGGCACTGCCCTGCGGGTGTTCACGGGTTAATTCTGGTCCACCCACCCGCCGCGGCCCAGGCAGCGCGCAGGCACGGCGCCGCACCATAGAGCTGAGCGCTCCTCCCGGGTTCCTAGAGCGGGCGGGCTGGTGTGTGGCTCGCTTAGTGGGAGGCTCCACAGCGAGCGGCGGGACGCTTGCAGGTAGGCACAAGGTTACCCGTGGGAGGCCCGGGTATCCTGGGCGATTCCGCCTACCAGGCGGTTTGTCGAGTCCAGGGCCGCTCCCTGGCACGGAGAGCGCGTCGGTTCTCCGTACCTGGTCAGCGCTCTCTGGGCCTTGGCTTCTACTGAATGAACGCCGGAAATGGGGAGCTGGCATAACCCTGAAACGCGGGTGAATGCGCGCGAATCGGCCGACCCAGTCGGGAAAGAGCTAGCTGAATTTGTGAGTGTGAGCAGGAGCTCAGGCAGGAAAGACAGGAGAAACGTTCATAGTGTCATTTTTGTAAAAGCGGGGGATAACAGCCTCTTGACCAATAAGACAAATTCTGCAAATCTCTTCCTCTCTGTTATCTTCCCAGTTACACCCTGTTTTGGTAGCATTAACCCCCACTTCTGTCTGAGTAGCCCTCTACTTGGAGTGGGGCGTATGTGTGCGTCCAGGAGAGGCAGTGCCACAATCCTGGACGATGGAGGAGGAAGCTGAGGAAACCGAAGATACATTACTTGGAAATTAAAGAAGCTTTCGTTTTCTCCTTCTCTCCTTTTGTATTTAGAGGCTGTTTCAGGTGCTCGAGTCTCAGAAGGTAGATTTCTGCTCCGCAGAGTGATTCTCTTCTGAGCCCATTGGTGCTCAGTTGCCTCCAGACCTGCGACCCTTAAGCAGACAAGAAAATCGCACAAAGGAAATGCTGTTTCTTCATTTGCTCCCTGAGGCGTCCAGTTGCAACCTATGGAGAACCAATTCAATTATGAATCTCAAGAACATCACTCTGTGTCCGGTGAGTAGACCCCATGCCAGCTCCGCACATGACAGCAATGTTCCTTATTGCCTACACCCACACTCTGTTGGTGCCATCTCTTTTGGGCTTCAGGCACAGTCCTGTGGTTTTATTTCTAATTCTAGCAATCAGATTCTTAGGCAGTTCCCTCCCTTTTTGAAGGCCCAGGAGTCGTCCATTGTTCCCCTTATTAATCAACGTATGACCAATGTGTGAGTGTTAGGTATGTCACCTTTCTGATCACTTCAAGTCATCTTTCTCATCTTTAGGGGCATATTTAAAGTTCTGCAGTCTGATGACCTGGATCAAATTCTAGCTTTGTCACTTACTGCCTTCAGTACTTTACGGTTCTGTTCCCTCCTTTACTAAGTATAATAATGCATACCTTTTGAGAATTATGTCTGTTCCTCCTTAGAAGTTAATGACCTGAAACATCAGACAGCTTTCATCTGTGTTATTTCTTTTGGTTTTGTGGTTCATCAACTGGAGCAGGGTTTAGGTGGGCAGTATTTTTCTCCTGATATTGTCTGGATTCACTTAGGCAGTCATCTAGTGACTTGACTTGGAGAAGTCTCAGTCACATGTGCGACTGCTGGCTTGAGTCATCACCAACAGTGGACTAGCCCAGACTTTTTCTCAGTACCCCTAATACCCAAAATCTGAGAGGGAAAGGTCTTTGATACATGAGCACTTTGTATACCTGGATTTGTTTTAAATCTGCCTATGCCTCATTGACCAGTGCAAGTCATGTGGCCAGTTTCAGCATCTTTGTGAAAGGAAACTGCACAAGGAGATTAATACTGAGAAATATGATTCATCGGTGCCTGTTACTAATATAAGAAACACTACAAACACGAAGTGAGGCCCTCTGTGTAAAGCTAGGAGTAGTGATCTGGATCTTAGTAAATTATTTATTTGTTCATTTGCTTGTTTTTTTATTTGTACTGGGGATTGAAGTAGGGCTTCAGGCATGCTTTATGCATACTAGGCAGGCACTCGACCACTGAGTTACATCCCCAGCCCATTTTATTTTACAATAGGGTCTTGCTCTGTTGTCCAGGTTGGCCTCAAACTGTGATCCTCCTAACCTAGCCTCTTGAGTATCTAGGATTACAGGTGTACACTACCAATGTTGACTTCTAGCAAACTCTGTGTAAGTGGAGCCACTGTGATAGTAGTAAGATGATTTTGATCCTTATTTTGTTCAGAAGTTTCCAGGGTTTCATTTCCACTTCATGGATTTGGTCCTCCTGCTGCTGCTGTCCTCCCATTGCTACTTTTTAGATTTAGTCCTCCCATTGCTGCTGTCGTTTTGTTCATGAAATTCTCCTCTTGTCTGTTTCTTTTAATGTAGATCTACAGATTTCTAGCCTCAGAGCAGCTTTATTAAGTTTTATTTATTTAGTTTATTTCCTGTATTATAATTTGCCCTTCTTTAAGATCTATTCTAGCCAGGTATAGTGGCACATAGCTGTATTCCCAGCACACAAAGGCTGAGGCAGGAGGATCATTGTGAGTTTGAGGCCAACCTGGGCTACACAGTGAATTCAAGGCCAGACTGGACTACATAGTAAGACTCTGTCTCAAAAAGCCAGAAGAAAAATCTCTTCTTTTTTTAATTTTAAGAAATAAAAGAAGGAAAACATATTAACAAACAGACATCCATTTACAAAATAGCATAAGAACAATACAAACAAAACAGAGTTACAGACAAAGTTGTAGGAAATTAACACTGGTTGTTGTATTACTTATTGTTATCTTCAAAGTGGTTAAAAATTCTCTTCTAAGTTATCTGACATTCTTCCTTTGAATCATTGTAAAGTTGTAGCTCCTCCTTGCAATTTGGCATAAACTGATATACTTATTCCATGTGATTATGTGTCCTAAAATGTATGTGAAGTAACATTTTTATTGTAAAGTCATACAATTTGCTATGGTCCATTTGTATAGTATGGAAAATACAAAATTTTAATAACCTATAACTCCACCATCTAGAAATAATTACTGCTAATATTAATGTATCCTTCAGACCATTTCACTAATTCAGCAAATGAATTAATAAAATCATAGCTTATTAGCTATTACTAGTCATACAGTGTTAGTCATTGAGGTTTTACTCTGTGCCACTATAAGTAAGGGGCTTCAGCATATGCAGATTTTGGTTTCTAGGAGGGGGCCTGAAACTAATCACCTGCAGATACTGAGGAATGGCCATACTCCTCACTCCTGGCCTAGCAAGAAAGGAGCAAAGATGAAGAGTAGCTGACTCATCTGTTTGCTTGGTATTTAGCACTGACAGTCCCACCTCCCAATAGCCCCTTCAGTTTTAGACAAGCCAAGACAGATGGTCACACTATTGTTCTTCCCTTATTATGCAGATCTAATTATAAGCCAGAGGTCATGGAAGCCCATAGTCACCAACATCAACCCCATGGGCACACAGCAGATGGAGAATAGATTTGAAAAGATATTCATGACAGTCCACCTCTTCTATACTCCAACATTTACTTTCCTTTCCTCTCTTCCCTTATCCCATCCGTTCTTCCCCTCCCCCATCCCCTCTCTTCCCCTGTCTTTCCCTCCCCTCCCCTCCCATCGCCTTTCCTGAGTCAGAAATGTATTGGAGAAAATGAAGAGGAATAGGAATACCTCCTGAGAGACAGAGGGGTCCTGAATGGTTTGCCAATCCAATATTCTGTACTGTGCTCCTAACATAGAAAATGAAGTTCCTTAAGCTACCATTTTCTTGCAGGTTGACATGTAATGAAATTACATTCCCTCCTGAAACCCCCCAGGGCCCCTCACTGTACTGGGAACAGAGTGAGCCTGGGATAAGTAGGTAATACAAGGGTAGTAGGAATGAGGGCAGAGAGAAAGGGACCAGATCATATGGAATTTTATAAGCTATCAGAAGGATTTGGAAATTCATTCCAGTGTAATGGGAAGCCTTTATACAAGATAATTGTAAGCAAAGATCTTTCTGCCTGGAATGTAAAGAGTAGGAGACATTATGGAGAAGACCACAAGTATTTCAAGAAGAAAGTAGTAAGTCTTCAAATAAATCTCAAGAAAGACTGAGAGTTGACCATTGGGTTTGTCAAGGTAGAGCAATTAGTGATTTTATAAGTCCAATTTCAATTGAGTTGTTGAAATAACAGCTTAATTATAATGGATTAGAAAGAGAATTCACTTAGGCTGGGGATGTATCTCAGTGGTAGAATTCTTGCCTAGCATGCAGGGGGCCTTGGGTTCAGTTCCATCAACACACACACACACACACACACACACACACACACACACACACATGAATAGAATTAATGTTGATTAAAACGTTCAGAACTCAGCAATATTTTCTTTAAAATCAGAAATTAGTAAAGTTGTGAAGAAAAGCCAGACAAGGATAAACACAGAATTCAATAATTATATGGAGAGGAAAAAAAGAGATTGGAGAGAGATAGGAACAGGCGCAGAACAATCCCAGGGTGTTTGAAATTTTCTGGTAATTTTTTCTTTCCTAAGCTAAAGGAAAATTCAATTTTGTTGTATTTAATCACTATTCATTTATATATGTGTATATTTTTCCTATGTATAAAAAATTTAAACACATGGAAAACATACTGTAAATTTTTTTTAAGGAAAATTGCTGAAAAAGGAAACAAAAAATGAAGCAACAGAAGTATCAAATAAGCCCAACACTTTTGTGTCATTTCAGATTTTGTGTCATTCCAGATTTTGTGTCATTCCAGTCTTAATGTGTTCTTACTGGTTTTTTATTAAATCTGCTTTAATGAGGTGTAAATACAGAAAATACAGTGTACCCTTTTTAATTGTGTTTAGATGAGTTTTGACATTTTTATACATCATATTCACTACTGCCACAATCCATGGAACCATTATATTTCCATTGCCTCCACTCAGAAATGATCTTATACCCCATCCTTGTTGCTTACTACCCCTAGGCAACCACTAATAAGCTTTCTGTCACTGTGGATTTCATTTCTTCTCTAAAATTTCATGAAAATGGAACCATGCTTTTTTGTGCCAACCTTCTTTAGTCCAACATAATATTTTGATATCTATCCATATTTTTGCTTTCTCTATAATTCTTTTGCTGAATAGTGTTTTATTGTTTGGATATGTCTCAGTTTGTGTATTGATTCACCAGATAGACATTTGAGTTGTTTACATTTTTGGTTGTTTTATTAATAAAACTGCTTTGTACATTTGTGAAGTATGTTTTCATTTCTCTTGAATAAATGTAGAAGAATTCCTGGGCTTTATGGTAAGATTATGTCTATCTTCATGAAAAGTTTCCAGATTTTTCTATGGTAGTTATACTGTTTTGCATTTCCATCAGCAATGTATGAGTTTCAGTTATTCCAACCCTTGTCAACATTTAACCATTAACTGTTAGTCATATTGTTATTCTTTTTAATTTTAGCCATACTGAAGAATATCTGCCAGTAGTTCTGTGTGGTTTAATGTACATTTCCCTGATAACTAGTGATGTTTAGCATTTTCTTATGTGCTTATTGATGATCCATATAACTTCTTTTGTGAACTCTCCACTCTAATTTTTTGCTCTTATTGAGTCTTATCTTATTTTAAGTTTTAAAAGATCTTTTTATATGTTGGACAGAAATTCATTGTCAGATACGTGTTTCATGAATATTTTCTTCTAGTCTATGGCTTCTCTTTTTTGTTTTGTGTTTTATGTTAGTAATGTCTTTTGAAGAGGTTTATAATTTTGATGCATTTTTTAAATCATATGATTAATGCTTTTGGTGTCCTATCTAGAATCACCACCTCCTCCCAAGTCATGAAGATGATCATCTATGCTTTCTTCTAGATGTTTTGTACTTTACTTTTTATATTTGTGTTTATGCTACCTTTCTCGTTAATCTTTGTGGGTAATACCAGAAAAAAAGCCATAACTCATTTTTATCATTGTGATACACAGTTCCAATACTGTTTCTTTTTTTTTTTTTTTTTTTGGTTTT